CTTATCTAGAAATAATGAAGATATATGCAAAATAATGTCTAATGCATTTTAGTATTAGTAATATTTTAAGGTATAAAGCATTAAAAAGAAAACTATGAACCGTCGCGTTGAGAAATTTGAAATCTTTTTCATCACTAGAAAATTTATTAACAAATTTCTTTGGCACATATATGTAATCTATAATAAATTTAAATCCTTTTTAGTTAGTTATATTCAATTTCTATGTGATAATTTCACAAAATTTTCGAACTGAAATCAAATATTACTTTGGTATTATTCCTTTCTGATTATTGACATTAAGCGTCTATATGATAATTTGTGAAATGTTTATCAGTTGTAATAGTAAATAATCGTTTGATCTGGATGTATCCCACGGGATGCAGGGATGCAGGGATGCAGGGATGCAGGTCACAGTACGAGATGTAATCGTCCGCGAATTTCCCACGACACGACAAAATGTACTGATGCACCATATCTAATGTCACGCCCTTAACCATTGGTTCCACTAGACATCGTATTAATATGTCAAAAACAAACCAGAAATTTTATTAAATACATAATTCTGAAGTAACTTTTATTTAGAATGATCGAAATTAGTTGATATTTGTGTAATTAAATTTAAATTTATAATTCACATCTCGTATTAATCACGGTAGCTGAAAAATCGAAACGTCGGGAGTATGTAGTTTTTTTACAATAATAAAGCGAATACTATTAGTTTCATTTAAATGAATAAATTCTTAGATCTCATTAAATGTAACTTATCTTGTCTCTAAGGTATATATACTTTTCCGCGTAGTATGACCCGAAAAATATTAATTTCATTTAAATCATTCATGTTTTCAAAATAAATTTTAACGAGTACGACTTAATATATAATTAATTAATTATGTTGAAAGAATGACTGTTAAGTTTTATAAGATTTTAATCCTGGCTTTATTATTGAAATAAAATAGCTAGATATTAATTTTATTTAAGAAATCCTCATATTATAGTTAGAGAAATAGTAACAAGACGGAATAATATTTCGTTACTTGTGTAAGTAACCGCAGTCAAAATGATTAAGCAAGCTTAGTTTCATTTTGAGCACAATCAAGCTATTTGTAACACAAATGATTATAATAAGCCTGAATGGTAAGCATTAACCGCTGAATAATAAACAATTAAGAAAATTGTTACAAAACAATCCTATAAATACGAAATTTCTCAGCATTCCATGGAAATCCCTACTAATATTATAAATGCGAGAGTAACTCTTTCTGTCTGTCTTTTACGCTTTCACGACTAAACCACTGAACTGATTTTAATGAAATTTGGTACAGAGATAGAGTTGACCTTGAGGAAGAACATAGGATAGTTTTTATTCCAGACTTTTGAAAGGTTCGCTTGGAAACGCGATATAACCGAACTCAACTCAGGCGAAGCTGCGGGCGGAAAGCTAGTATTAAATATAACAAACAATTATTATAATAACAAATACTTGTAGCTGAATGTCAATATATTATCAGGATGACACTATAATAGAAGAAAGCCATTACAATTTGATCCCCTCTTCATATCAAGTGTAGTGGCAAGTGCTTGTAATCGCGCGGCGCTGGGTCACGTGACTGGCACGTGACCGCGCGCGTCACCTGCGCGCGAGTCCGATCATCCCCTTAAATTGTTTCCTATTATAACATCAATATACAAATTATAATATACATATCTAGCAAAAAATCTAAGCTTGTTTATTCTGGGATAATATTTATTAGTTCTATTTTGATTATGCTTTGTTTAAATACTATTCGTGAGATGAAAAGTGTTTGTTACGTACGCGCTACATATGAAGAAAAGAACATCTTTGTATCGGTAAAATATCGTATGAGTGACGCCGCTGACTCCGCGGAACGAACACCAAGCTGTGTGAACCAGAAGATTCCTCAAACCATACAAGCAATATAATGTGATTGCTATCCTAACATCGGGGCAATCATGTAGTCTTAGGTATAGCTTATAAGTTTTAATATGTAATTCTAATTATAATATACATATAAGTACATTTCGTAGTTTTCCTGGAACCTCCAGTTGCCATCTATATAATTGTCGTTATCGTGTTTTTCAACATATACCTACAATGTTCATGAAAAAGTCAGTGGTGGCCTAATGGTTAGAGGGACCGCCTCTCGTTGCCGAGGGCGCGGGTTCGATCCTGGCCCGGGCAAGTACCAATGTAATTTTTCCGAGTCATATGTACTTTCTAAGAATATTTAGACATCACTGATTAATGCTGATTCCCAAAAGAGGGATGATGTCAGGCAGGCGGCCGGTCGTAAAAACCAATTAGCCAAAACTATTCACAACATGTAAGGCAGACTCTGGCTATAGCCGGGAAATTGCCAGGTAGAAGAAGAAGAATCTACGATTTTCATTAAGAATAGAGTAATTTATATTTACTGAACTGGATATATAAGTAGGAATTTACGAATATGTAGGAGTATAAAATTATGTAGTATATTATCAAAATCAGGTATTATTCTGTACAGATTCTATCCCAACGGACACCACAACATCTAAGATCTGGATTGACATTTTGCCGGCGCTCCCGAAGGCGTGTCAATCTTTATTGTACTCACAGGCAGCACACGTCATATTCTAGTGACCATCTTTAAATAAACAATGACCGGTGGCTTTACTTGAAACAATATTAACTAAACAAGATTCTGAATTATACTCTCATATATATATAAAAGAAAGTCGTGTAGTTACACTGTTTGTAACTCAAGAACGGCTGTAATAATTTGGCTGAAAATTTGTGGGGAATTAGGATACTTTTGAATTAGTTCGAGACAAAAAAATCCAAAATCTGTTTATTTACTGCCTTTAAATCGAAATAATTCGCCTGGTCAGATATATATTTGTAATTATGAAAGTTACGCGGTCTAGAGCTAGTATAACATAAAGGAACTTAAAAGAAAATCGTACATATTATATTGATTTAGGTCAGATATAAGTCTTAGTTATTTATCAAAAACATAAATAAATTATATCTTTATACAGATTCGCGATCTAATCTCTCTCCGTGGATAACAATAAAACCAAAATCGTCCGCAATTATATACAATTTATCGGCTTGGACGGCGTGCAGCGCTTGATGGATTAAATTGCTCTAGCCCTATGACAACGTGGGCATGGAAAAAACACTGTATTACAGACCAGCTGTTCATTTTTCAAGTGATTTCCTTTTGCTCTATAGCAGGTGGCCTTTTGTAGGCGGTGTACAAACTGGAAGTTTGCTTAGCGCTTTGGACGCTATTTGAACAGCGCCTGATAAATTTTGAGCAGAATTCGCGTGTTGAATTAGGACGGGCTCTTTATATTTACTTTGCCGTAATGTTAACATTTCCCGCCATCTCCCCGAACGGTTGACCATTATATTATAATTAAATAGAAAGAAACACATAGATATATATAAAGAAATCATTTTTAACAACAAAAATATGAATAATAGCGTTATTTTTTGAAAGTGGATTGCATGGTGGTACATAATTTACAAGTATTCACATACCAATCAGGAATACGGTCGTACGTCACAATAATTTCATTAGGTGTACGTTTGTTTGCACTCTACAATGAATACTGTATTTACCGCGGGTCGTGCTCCCAATTTTAATTGTAATATGTGAATTCGTATTTTCCATGCGAGTTTTAATTATTGGGAGACTACGTAGGGTGAGTAACGCGACCGCTTCCAATATTTATAGCTCGTCGGGACCATTCCGATACACTTTTTAACTTAATGAGTGTTGCTACCTCTGATACATGGCTTTAATGTTTTCATTATGTATTGCAAGTGTTTGTTTTAAAGTTCAAAAATTTTCATTATTCTTCAACCATATAGGCATATTTCATGCTGAAATTAACCTCTCTTAAGTCAAATAACAAAACTGAAACTACTCGAAATTCTGATTAAATTTATTTTAAAATAAATACCGACTCAAAGTATTTCAGATTTCAGAGCATTTTTATAATATAATCTTAATCAATTTGAATACATTCAGTCGACTAAACTTCACAACCTTCACTCTTTCAAATATATAACATTATTTTATTATTTGTATACTATGTTAATACAATAACAAAATATGACAAAATATCCAACGTTGTCGTGGGTTTCGTCACCTAGAATACAAGATGAGTCAAGAGACCGAGCCGGTTCCGACGTGATCATTCCACTCACAGGATTCCGTGCATCAAATATTCAGACGTAAGGCACGTGCATAAAAATGAACGCCTATTATGAAATTAAACAACATCTAACCGCAGTTTTGCCCATTTTTTTTGGCAAGGCGCCGTCAGCTTCAGAATTAACGGACACTAATTGGACTGTGGAAATGCAGTGACGGACGTAGCGGGAAATGTTTTTTTTTTTACCCAGAGGAAAAAACCGCAAATATTACATTATTGTGTTCATTAAATCAATGTTTTTTTTTCTCTATTTCCTTTATGTTTTGTGATATATAAAACAAGATAAGCTAATATTATTTTATAAGAAAGTTTTGTCACAAAATAGGTCTTATATTTGAAAGGTCCATTCAATTAATATAACTATTTCACATAGCTTATAACTGTTTAAAGGGTAAAAATTTTCATTTGTTTTTATCACTCGTTCAATACAATACACTTATAACTGTGTATATATATTGATTAATAATATATAACGATATATTGGTGGCTTAGTGGCTAAAAGGCCCGCCTTTCATGCACGAGGGCGCGGTTTCGATCCTGGCCCGGGCAAGTACCAATGTGATCTTTCCGAGTCATATGTACTTTCTAAGACTATTTAGACATCACTGATTAATGCTGATTCTTAAAGAAGGTTGATGTCAGACAGGTGGCCGGTCGTAAAAACAAATAGCCAAAACTATTCACGACATGTAAGGCAGACCCTGGCTATAGCTGGGAAATTGCCAGGTAGAAGAAGAACGATTAAATATACAATAAAAATAGTGTTTTCTTCTTACCTGAACTCTCGCTTCTGTAAGATCTATTTTCATTGCTATTTCTTCTCTGGTATATATATCAGGGTAATGTGTTTCCTGGAAGGCTCGTTCCAATTCTTTCAGTTGTGCTGAAGTGAATGTAGTTCTGATTCTACGCTGTTTTCTCTTCTCTGTCAAAGAGCCTTCGTGACCACCGTATACTTTGTATGGGAGGCCGGCTGAAAAAGAAATTTGCATTAAAATTTATGTTAAACTGCCTTAATACATGAAAGAATATAATATTTTACTTATACTATTATAAAAATTTAATCGTTTCATACCATATCATTTCTTATATTGAGATGGAATCGCAAAAAAAAATGTTCCTTATAAACAAATTGCTTTATATTCTAACAGCATTATAGTTTATCTACCAAATGGCCTAATATACGCAATAATATAATATTATCCTTATACTCTAAGAAAAATTAAACCTTTTCATACCATTTCATATTATATTGAGATGGAATCGCAATAAAAATATTCCGAACAAACAAACTGCTTTATATTGTAATTAATATCTTTGTTTATATCAATAATATAAACAAAACAATCGTAAATAAACTCATAACATTAGAAGGTGAAAACAAAATGATTTACAAAGATGAACAGATCACTGTATGAAAATCCGTGAACAAGCGGCCATTTCGTCTCCCCTCGTTCAATGTACCTACTACTTTATATACCTACATATCATGTAAATATTGTTTAAAGTAATTAAAAACCTTCAAATTATAATATATATTTTATTATATATATTTTTTTATGTTATATATATTTTCGTTTCATTTAATTTATTATAATACGAATCTTGTTATTTGTATTATGTCTTATATATAATAAAATTTTGTATACAATACATATAGATTTCAAATGAATACTATTGAAAATATATTTATTAATAAAATTATAATTAATTATATAATTTATATTTTCAATATAAGATCTAATAACTTGTATATTATTGAAGGACGATAAAATTAAATAAGAAAAATATTATAAGGTCTACTAATAATGAAATACTTGTATAAAGATATAACTCCGCATAATATAAATTGTAAGGCTCTATAGAAAAACCGTAGCGGTGGCATGTCGCGCATTCGTATCGATCGTAGCCGCCGTACGACCTGCCACGATAAGTAACTGCACTCTTATATATATAACTCAAACCATTTAAATCACTTACATATTTATAACTCACTAGTTTTTGCCCGCGACTTCGTCCGCGTTAGTTTGGTCAAGAGTAATATATGTAGGTGTTGCTGACCAGGCGAACTCTATTCCGTCTTAGAGGACATAAATAATCAGGTTTTTCCTGTTTCAATCGAACAGAATGATTGACATATTAGTTAGTTGTCAAATCTTATGTCAAAAAAAAACGTTTGTATGGGAAATAGAAAAGGGCTGTTTTTAGGGTTTTCCCGGAAATGAATCAATTTTCTTCAGCTTTTAAACCTTCCCTGAACCTCCACGAACATTTCAAGACTAAGATAAGATAAATCCTTTCAGCCGTTCTCCAGTTTTAGTGAGACTTATTAGCAGCAATTCATTTTTATATATACAGGATGACTGGTGAATTACTATCAATATTTAAGGAGCATACTCGGTACATGATTCTCATTCGAATTATGTAAAAAAAATAGGTACTTAATTTTTGACTAAATTTCCAAGTGTTCCAAGTGTGGACGCGTGCGGCGGCGTGCTGATACAACAACACGCCTCCGCGCGCGTATGTGTGAGTGTGTTGTATACCTAATCTGTAGGGTGTTCATACGATGCGTAATTAATTACATAACTTTTGGTTAACTTTACTTAGAAGTTTATTAATATTTTTGTTATATTAATTTTTATTTTGTCATATATGATCGTCAAATATCACGTCCTCAAATATCGATAGTAATTCACCAGTCACCCTGTATAGAAGATGATTTAAATCACTTACATATTTATAACTATAATGATTCTAAGATTCTAAGAATGGGATTCTAAATATGAGTTTCTAACTATGAATGTAGTTATAATTATGGCTGTATAATGTTTATACAAAATCTCATGATATTAGCACCATTGGTATACCGCAGACCGCACGAACAACGACAATTACTTCAAATGAACCGGAATTAATCGAGACCCGCTTCTTGGCCGAACTGCGGTCTCATTTGCATTATTAATAGAGGGGGAATCCCCATGTCATTGTAACCCCCACAAACCCCCAAACCCCCAAACCCCTAAACCCCCTCCAGCCCCGCAATTTGCGAGACCTAATGAATAGGAACCCACCAAGATGTTCTTATATTGTTTAATTCGAGTTTGTTCTTCGTGGGTCAGGTTTCTTAGTGTTATTACACGTTTTATTATTTTATATAAGCGTTATGTTTATGTTATTAGAAATTCTTGCTTTTGAAATGATTGAGAATGAAACTCGGACCATTGGTATGAAGAAATGCGAAGAATTTATACGATCTTTTGTTTTGTGATAATTTAATCAAATTTATATTCATTATTGCTCATAAAAGCGTGTTTTAATGATATGGTTTGGTGAATAGGTATAAAACGATCAACTTGACTTATTATATAAATGATAAAAGGTATGAAACAATACGTAAGGTAGAAATAGTCTTCAAGATTGAAAAAAAAAATATCAATGAAAAATCCTTCAAAATTATTTTATATTATTTTTATGTATATAAACTAAATGTATTAATATTCCATATATACATACATATATATATATATATATATATATATATATATATATGTATATATGGATATATATATATGGATATATATATATATATATATATATATATATATATATATATTTGGGGTTTAAAATTACTAATTAGTGAGTAAGCGTGAGGACGTTCTACACTTTAATCGTCAGGAGGCAATTAATTCCGAAGTATTATGATCCCTGTTCCTACGAACTACAGACGGTTCTTTAATTACTTCCTGAATTTACTTTGCTGTATACAAGCATATAATAATATATACAATAATTACTTATCTATGAACAGCTTATTCAGTTCTATTCAACCAAAGAGGTTGTTATACCAAAGTAAAAATATTCCAAGAGGTTCTTCCAAAGAGGTTTAAATCTACGCTCACATATTATTTATTATATATCTGTTTATTTTATTATATGCGGCCTGTAAAGTCAATCGTTTCCTCATCAAAACCTGGTTCATTTTTCTCTCGTCTCGTGTTAGTGCTAACTTCGCTGGCATTCATAATGCAAACATTTTCGGCGCGTCGTCGACATCCGACATATTGTGGAAGGGTTGCCAGATTAATGGTAGCCTTTACTGGATCAAAAAATTTGTTTCCCTCAAGATTTTGCAGATAAAGCGTCTTGTTGAAATTCCATAACAAACAGTGGGGAAATAATAATATGTTATACTTATAAATATAGTGGATTATCAAAAATAGAATGTATATTTTTATTGAATACTCAAGTCTACTTCCATTGACTGTACGACGTACGTACTCTTCTGTAAACTATGCCCTATTATTGTTTAAATTATTTTTTTATAACCTTATAAATATTTTAGTCAACTTCAGACCTCTTTACAATTCAGAAATTTGATTTTATACTAAAATATCAGCTGCTTATAACACTTTTTTAAATAATGATGAAGAACATTTGAATTGAGACTGAAAGTTTGCAAGACTATTTTTAAACGAACCTTCTTTGACCTTTAATAATTAAAAAGTTTTAATTGGATTACATAATTATTTCATTATGTCCAAAAACTAGCTATTTATCATTACCGGGTTTATAGGCTCTGTAATAAATTTGTACATAAATAATTTTTATATTCTTTTCATCTGTCATAAATTGACATAGTAAAATTTCTATTAATGTAATTGAAGAACTCAATGAAAACGAACTGGAATGTCAAAAAATGTATACATATTTATTTTAGATTTATTGTCATAATTTTGTTAAATGAGTTATCTATAATTATTGTATTTAAGATGCTTAGTTCACTTCGATCGAAACAATAAAAAAACCTTCCTAAACTCGAATATCTGGTTATTTATGGCCTCTAGAACGGAATATAGTTCGCCCGGTCAGCTATACATATATTACTAATTACGAAAATAACGCTAACGAAGTACAGGCAAAAACTAGTATTATGTAAAAGTAAGCTTTAAAATGTATGTCATTTGACATATTCTTATTATCTTTAGATCTACTCAAAAGTTTTGTTATCAATTATTAATGAGAATTAATTTAATTTCATAGAAACTTAATAAAAATTAAACCATTAAACTAAATTAATAAATTAATTAACTACTCAGTAACTTAATCATTAAACTCAATAATAAGTTTTTGACCGATTTTAAATGGAATAAAAAACATATAATTTCCTTAAATTTATATAAAAGTGTTTGTAGTTAAAATTAATCAATAAAACTAAATAAAATACAAAAAAAATAAACATTTTTTCTTCCATAAAGCGGATACAAATGTTCGTGAAGCATAGACAGTAAAAAGTCGAGTATAGTGTAGAAAGGCAATACATTTTATATTTGCAAATAAACATGTAGGTAAATTTTCGTAATGGCCGCCGTAAAACAGGCACTCAGAAGCTAAATACACTCTAGTATAAAGTCGTAAAAACAATATCGGTAATATTGCGTTTTTAAACCATTATGATAATTGTTAAAATAAATATTTATAAAATTGAATAGTTTTACGATGTTTTTTGAATATAATATTATATAAAATAAAACATTTGTAACAGAGGCAATGCTACATTGTAAAGTTACGACGCTCGCAAGCGAGTCAGCTCAACTGTGAGATATTACATTTTTTATGGCCCACTCTTCTATACTTACTGGGACAATATAGATCACATGATGCTATAAAACATTGCCGTTGGTGATACCAAATCGAATTAACCCGTCCACTTGCATGCAAAACGCCAAGAATGGATATTGGTTTGGGTTAACATTCAAATGTACCGGCTCGGTTACAAATCAAATCTTATAATCAGATATACTTGGAACATTTCTAGCTTGTTTTGTACTAGATATATATATGCCTATGTTAGGTAAGATAGTTGAAAGTTTTTGGCTTGTTTGTAGACTAGCTAGCTATATTATAAGGATTCTGTTTACTAAAATATATCGTCGTCGTCATCAGCCTATCAGAGAACACTGCTGAGCAAAG